ATCCCATTACCGGTCAGTAAAAAAGACAAAAAGGAAAAAAAAAGAAAATGTGAAGGGAGCGTGGTCTTGATGCCTGGGGCAGAAAGGGCTCTGCGCAAAGTGCCCACCTCCAGGCCCCCCACACCTGGCTCTGTCCTGTGTGAGACTCGAGCTGAGTCTGAGGTGACCTCGGGGGAAGCTTGTCCTCCAAGCAAGATAGACACGGGGGTCCAGCCTGCTCGTCAAGTGAACAACAACATAAAAAGCATCTTGAAGGATTGTTTTTTTAAAAAATTGGGTTACTTACTGTGAAACTCACTGGGGGTCCAGCCTGCTCGTCAAGTGAACAACAACATAAAAAGCATCTTGAAGGATTGTTTTTTTTAAAAAATTGGGTTACTTACTGTGAAACTCACTGGCCGCTGGACATGGTGTGGAATTTTACAGTTGTAAGGGGCTGGGGTCCCACATGGTAATTAAAACCTGGGTGCAGAGTGACTGCATCTGATAGGAAAGGGTAAAAAAAAATTTTTTTTTAATTACAAGGACTGCTTTGCTTTGTAAGCAGGAACCAAATTCCCCTAAGGAGGGTGTGTGAAGACTCATTAATTTGAGTTCTTTGAAACGGGTCCCTTGGTCCTGCTGTCGCATTGCCTTGAGTTAACGGGGATTTTGTTCCCATCATATTGAGTGTCCTTGGGGCATTGGGCAGGTGGGGGACTTGGTGCCTCTGGAGCCGCCTCCTTTTTGTTCTCTAACAGGCAGAACTGAAGGAATTCTGAATGCATAATACTTAGTTTTCCAGACGAAGACCCCGAGGATGACTCTCGGTGGATCCATTATTTCTTTATTCTCATTAAAATTTATCATAAAAATAAGGAAGACGCAGGATTCTCGAGTGTTGAGGCAGCTCTGAAATTGGGGGATCTTTTTGTTGTTGTCAGTCTGCCTGTATTTTAAAGGCTTCATAAAGGAAGGTCGGCCACTTGGCTTAGCGTAAGTAGGTCAGGCACATTTAGAGCCCATTGTTCCAAATCCCCTCCGTCCTTATTCTTTAAAAAGCTGTGGCTTGTGACATGTTTAAAGAGGAAGGGTTGGGGTTGCTGACCTAACACAGTATGAAGATTGCTTACTGATCCAAATGTCCATTTTATTGCATGTTTGTTTACTTTTTTGTTAGATGTAATGTAAGATTCTCTTATCACATCCATTCCCTCTGACATTATTTTGAGTTAATGAGATTCTTTAAGCGTTAGCCTGGGGAAGGTAAGTCTTTATCTTCCATTAGACATTTTAAATAAAAATCTAAGTAAAAAACCTCTGTGTTTCTCAGGTATGGGCTAAAAGTGCAGGTGGGCGGGCTCTGAGAGCTCCAGGTGGTGCCGCGGCCGGACGGGTTCCAGAGAGGCCTGTGATGAGGGCTGCGAGGGCTGGGAAGACCCCACTCCCTTTTTGTCCCCATGTTTTCAAGAGGCCATTGAAGGAGGACACTGCTATTTTACCTCGAGTCAAAGACCCCTCCTCACGCACAAATCTCCTGAGGGCTCTTAGCTCAGTCCCGGCTACTTGGAAGTGGACAGGGCTCAATGTGGCTTATGGTTGCATCTGTTGTACCTGAGAAACATTTTTTAAACAAATTAAAAATTTTTTAAAGAAAAAAGCTACTGGCCTAAATAAGGTTTATAGTTAAGTATTTAGTCTTAAGTCATAAGATGCTAAGTGTAGTCATAAGTTACCCGAGGGTGTGTCTGAAGGGAAGGGGGTGCTGGGACCCTCAGCTTCTTCCTAAACCAGAGCTCGGTTTGTTTAGGTGGAGGTTAAACGGGCCGAGCCTCGGGATAGCAAGAGCCAAGCGCCGGGGCAGCCAGGTGCCAGCCAGTGGGGGAGCCGGGTCGTGCCCAATGCTGCAAATGGCTGGGCAGGCCAGCCCCCACCAACGTGGCAACAAGGATACGGCCCGCAAGGTAAGGTTTTGCCAGCCCTGGATGGGCCTGGCCCAGGTGTGGGGACCCACTCCCTCACTGGGAGGGCCAGGGGTCAGCAGGCACGTAAGCCCCCTGTGGCTACCTGATAGGCAGAGGTTCAGGATGCGAGACAGTGGCACAGGCAGGGTGGGCCAAAGCAGAAGGCCCTGTCCTGCTCAGCGTTGGCATGGGTGGAGAAACTATCACTGTCAGGAAGGGTGCAGCAAGGCCGTCCCCACATGCCTGCCCGTGGAGCACCCAGAAGGTGGTTAGCTGTTTCCCTGACCCTCGGTGGTAGGGTTGGTCTCAGCTTGGGTTCATGTCTGTGGTTTGCATGGACGAGTCTCCTGTCCACGGGCTAGGGCTTTGGGAAGGGCCACAGGAGTCTTAAGTGAGCATCCCAGAAGGTGGTTAGCTGTTTCCCTGACCCTCGGTGGTAGGGTTGGTCTCAGCTTGGGTTCCTGTCTGTGGTTTGCATGGACGAGTCTCCTGTCCACGGGCTAGGGCTTTGGGAAGGGCCACAGGAGTCTAAGTGAGCAGTTAGAGGTAAGAGGTTTTCAAGTTGTGCAAAGTCCTTTCCCTTTGCTGCTGTGGTGTGGGCATCATTGGGGGGTGCATCCAGGATGACCATGAGGACCTGGTGGGGTTAAGATTTTTGTCACCTGCTGTCACCTCTGCTGAGTGGCATCCTCTCCATGGCCAGGGCCTGCATGTGCTCAGCTCTGCCCCTGACATTCTGTGGCAAACCATGAACAAGTGGGGCTGGACACAGCTGCCAAAAGACCCCATAGCTCCTCCTGCCCAACCCCTGCCCAGCTTGACTCCCAAGTCATGGCTTCAAGGTTCCAAACATGCATCTCCTGTCCACATCCCTGGATCTGCGGGTTTCTTCTGGGATGCTTCCCCTGTCGGAAGCAAGGAAGTGAATAGGCACACCCTGTCCTGTACCCAGGCATCTCAGGGCCTTGCAGGGACCGACCCTGCATTCCTTAGTGCTTAGAAGTCATAATGGCTTCTCTTGTGTCCTCCTTTGGAGCTGGGAAGGCTTCCCTTTGCCCTCTCAGCAAACAGTACCCACTGTGTGGGGTGAGAGGAGGGGTTGGGGGCTGCCCTTGCTGCTCAGGTGCAAGGAGGACTTTGCCCATGAGATGGCTCTGGCTGAGGCCGCCGCTGCGAGAACTGGGCTGCCTCTGCCTGTGCTCCGAGTGTCAGGAGGGGTTTGGGCTGCCCCAGTCCCTGGTGCCTGCGCGCTGCCTCGGCATCAAGTGCCTAGCGGACTCAGCACCAACTTCCTCTTCTGTTTTCTCGTCTAGGAATGTGGGTGCCAGCGGGACAGGCCATTGGTAAGTCCTTGTAGAGAAAAGGGAAAGAGCAGAACCCAAATGCATAGGTGGACTCAGGAGGGCTCGCTGCTCAGGTGGCACCTGGCCCCGTGTGCGGTTGGTAGAGCCATTGTGAGCGTGTGTCCCGGGGTTTGAGGTAGAGACTGAGTCCTGCAGCCCATTTCCTCTTACCTCCTCACTTTGGAGAGGAGGAAAGGGTCAGGGGCCTGCCGCGGGTCCCCTGGGTTGGGTCTGGGCTGTGTTGTCTGATGCTCTCTGCCCCTCACCCTTGTGCTGTGTGTTCCAGGTGGCTACGGACCGCCCCCTGCAGGAAGAGGGGCCCCCCCGCCGCCCCCGCCGTTCACCTCC